TGCCGCCCCTATGAAAAAGAACTTTCCACACTTCAATCATAAAGCTATTGCTGCCTTTGCTAACAACAAAAAGAGGACAAATGATTCCTTTGATTTGATTTGATTTGATTAACCAATTCCCTATGGGAGAGATCTGGAACTTAACATTGATTGGATACGCATGGCTGCCACTAAGAGCTATAATGCTACTTCCATCAAAAATATCTATAGGCAAACATAAAAAATTAATGTCTAATAAGTAACAACGTAACCTTAAAAAATTAATGCCTAATAAGTAACAATATAACTTGGGTATATATATAGGTGCTCGAGATGATTAAGAGATTCTAATATGGCTCCTAATGTCTTGGGCTTGATTCGAATGTATTAAAAAATTATAAGAATGTGACTTATTTAAACTTTGAATAAAAAAGCTCAGTGTTCAAACTTAAGGATTAAGTTAGAACTAGCCTAAATCATTATGGATCAGGAAGGGCTTGAACAGCAATGACCTAGTTATTGGTCAAAAATAGTCGTAACAAAATATAGTTAAATTTTGTCTGATTATGTGCAAAATCAAGAATAGTGATTCTAAATTTAGCTCCACTAACCATTAAACCAAAACTCCAAAGTTATGGTGAGAGTCGAGAAATATAGTTTTATATTAATTCTAACAGTGATGGTCCAATTATTGATCTGTTGAATTTTGTTATCTCAAATTGACAGGACCCTAACAGAATCTGAATGTAGTAGTTTTTGCATAGTAAGCTGAACAAATATAACCAAGAATTACATCAAAATTACTCCAAACATATTCAAGAGGATCGCTCTGAAGGAAACCAGACCAAATAGAGCCAAAACGTTTCGGTGCAACTTCAAGTTCTTTGGTTTCGTTTCTGAAGTCCACATCCATTTCTATTCGACGTCTAAAGCCTACAAAGATCTTAAAAGATTGTGAACTTATCTGTCTCCTTTTATCTGCTGATTATAACTACCTAGGAGAAAACAGTAAGCTATACGAAGAGAACAGTAGGAGAGAGCGCGTGCTCGACCATCACGTCTCCGTGATTTCTTGAGATGATAGAGATTGCGGATGAGTGGCTGCTAGCGGAAGACAATGCACGTCAATGACATACATATGATGGTTACCTTAAATAGGTTTTTTCGGAACCATGTCCCCAGTAGTAGTTAGATCCAATAAAAGAACATATCGATTATGATTTCATGAAAATTTTGGGAGGGGTTTACGGAAAATGATTTCTAGAGTTTTTAGGATGGATACAAATAGACATGTCTTATAATATATCCTATGTTGCGGGTTAACAACTTTAAAACTTATGTTGGAACGCATGTCATGTCATGTCATCATTTTTCTCTGCTGACATTATGACATGTACAATGCACGTGCAATATACGTTAAAACTTAAGTATTCTACTTTTTATGTGAAAAGAGTCGCTCACTTTAATACCTCCAAAGTATCATTGATTATTTTTGCAAGAATTTTTCATAATATTTGTTCATTTGATGTGCAATATTTCTTTATTTCTTGTGATGGTAGGAATTTTTGAACAAGTGGTTGCTAGTGAAAGACAATGCATGTCAATGACATAAATGATAGTTACCTTAAATAGTTCTCTGAAAACCAAGTTGTCTCCAATGGTTGTTAGATCCAGTGAATGAATATATGGAACCATGATTTCTAGAAAATTTTGGGAAGAATTTATGGAAAAAGTTTTCCATAATTTTTAGAACGAATACAAAATAGACATGGCAAAATAGACATGTCACATCCTCAGCTAATAATCATTAACTTCAAAAATTATATCGCAAGACGTGACACAGCTATTTTCCCCCTTTTGTTTTCTTGGCTTTTTTCCCCTTTTTTTTTATAACTCGTCTAGATTTGGGAAACGCTTTCCCCTATAAGAACATAATATATATAGGCCCAAGTCCACCACAAGTCCCGAGCCCAAACTTAGCCAGAGTCTAATCCAATAAATATTTATCTCAACGGTAAACCACCAAAAAAAAAAAAGAGTGAAAAAAAATGCTGGTTCTTTCTCTTCTCCCTCCTCTGTCCCCTTGCCCTCAAATCACTCCCTTAGCTTCAATCCCGTCATCATCCATAATCTCCACAAATCAAAGCAGCAATCATAAACTTAGCCGCAGGAAAACTCTCTCTCTTCTGACTTCCCCCCTCATCATCTCTCTTCCCATTGAAACTGCAAGGGCTGAGGATAAGGACGAGACCCAACAAGAAGAGGAGCGAGTCATCCAAATCTTTCAGGTCTCCTTTATCTATTTCAAGAATCCTTAGGTTTTACAAACCCAGTTGATGAAATTTTAGATAACCCATTATTTTAGGATGCATCTCCATCTGTCGTGTTCATCAAAGTCTTGGCATTGCAACCAAAATCTGGGCAAAATAAGAAGGATGTCCCTGTGATCGAGGAAGAAGACGCCAAGGTTGAAGGAACTGGGTCTGGGTTTGTTTGGGACAAGGCTGGCCACATTGTGAGAGTCTAATTCAACTATTTTGTTCAAATTTTCAATGTACTTGATTATTTTTATTGAAATGCTCATATGGGTCTTTTGTATATTGACGAGATAGGTGACAAACTATCACGTTATAGATAAATTGGCCACTGATCAGTCTGGTTTACGACGTTGCAAGGTAATCAATGTGGAGTACGGTTTGGTTTTTAACTTGAATTCGTTGAGATTTAATGGATGGATTATGACTGTGTTTTTTGATCTTCTGTTTGAGGTTTTCTTCGAAGATGTGAATGGAAGTACTTTTGCTAGGGAAGGAAAGCTTATAGGATATGATGCCTCCTATGATCTTGCAGTTTTGAAGGTTTTAATGCAGTTCCTTATGCATTTTGTTTAACTTTTGGAGAAAATTGTATTAAAAACTGTGTTTTAATTCGATTAATTGGTGCAGGTTGATGTTGAGGGTGATAAGCTGAGACCACCCCTTATTGGTTCTTCGCGTGATCTTCGAGTGGGTCAGAGTTGTTTCGCCATTGGAAATCCTCTTGGATACGAGCATACACTAACTACTGGGGTAGAGGCTTTGAGTGTTGCTATTCTCTTTGCTTTCATCCATTAGTTCCATGATCTTGCTTTCCTTGAAGAGATGAGAATTTGTAATCTAGACCAGCAATAATCATATATCAGTGGAAGCCATAGTTTCGATTTTTACCTCATAAAAACCGATAGAATGCCTTGTCCTAGAGTGCAATGTAGCATATCCTTCATTTTCTTGATGACGAAGAAGATTACAACTTCTCCTCATGTCTGGATCAACTAACCTGTGATTTTGTGATTTTTGAGCCATCCCAGCCCTTGAAAAGATCCACCAACTGATAGCCCTAAGTCATCTCCAACTAGAAACTACCTTGCTGTCAAATGTAGATGCTAGTGCTGTTCTTTAAACTCAAATTCTTGTAGTGGTTAAAAAAGATCTTTTCATCCTTATGATGTATCATAAAATGTTGTCTATTCCGATTCTAGAAACTTTTGGGAGCCCTGCTTATATGGTACTCTAGAAAACATGGTAAGCTTTAGGTTTGGTTTTAAAATGTAGGAATTTGAGTGCCTTAGTGTACAATTGTTTTGCAGAGGTACATGGACTAGAGTGGTGTCAAAGAGACACCACTCTTTTAATTATAAAGTAACACCATGTAAAAGATAAAATTACAAAAAAAGGAAAAAAAGCCTATTTTGATTTATTACAAAGTGACGTTCATTTAAAATAATGAGTGACCTATCAGTTCCTAATAGCACAAGTCTTAAGTGATCATGATTCATGTATAGGGATGATTCAATTAATTTAAAAAGTCCAATTCCAAGGTATCATATGTTGCAGAGCTATAGCATCAGTTTTCTAAAAAGGAAAAAGCTACAAAGTGGATGAAACTACAACTTAGTAATCTATATTGGAAAGGGTGTATTTAGTGGTATTGCGAATAGTATTTGAAGCCTTTCCACTGCCTATATTAATCTCAATCATCAATTACTTAGTTGATGGTTGTGATTATTTTTCTTGAGTACAAAATAGGAATGTGTGCAAAGGGTATATGGTTAGTGCTAATTTAGAGTGAATCATACTCATCCACTAAGACAATCTATAGCTATGGTCAAAAGTAGTTGTCTCTCCCCTATTATTTCGTTGTAGTGAGGATTCAAATCCTTTCAAATGAGGTTATTATGCAACGATTGGTCAATTGTAATTATATTCAGTTAAATATTTTTTTGTAACTCGCGAAGTTTCTGACTATATTAAATGTGAGAAAAGTTAATAATATCGGTTTTGTATATTTTGTGACACCACTATTATAAATTGTTGACTCCGCCATTGATAATGGTAAAAGAATTCTCAAGTTGCAATTAACGTACACTTTTTGTTGTTTATTTTTCTGAAAGTGTCTTTTCTTTAAACAAAATATTGACTGATTTGAATCTTAAATCTGGCCGCTGGGTACATGACCCAATTCGTTAGTATACCGCGTTCCAGGATGATTGATCCTAGGTCATGACTCGCTACAGTGACCCATGTTCCCAAGTCCCAACATCTATGGTCTGACTACTTTTAGTTCCTGCAATAAGCTTGATTTAATACGCAATTTTTTTTATAAACAACCGAACTCCTTTATTGCTAACTAAACTAAGCTTCTCCTTGAAGATCCCACATTTGATAACCTTCAAAATTTGACCAATGTGAGCAATTGCAGGTTGTAAGTGGGCTGGGGAGGGAAATACCTTCACCAAATGGGAGGCCAATTCGAGGAGCTATACAGACTGATGCAGCAATAAATGCTGGTAAAATTATTTTCTTATTCCTTAAGTTTAGGACCAATTATGCTGCTTAATTCTGGATGTAGTAGTAGTACTTATCCTCTCAGACTCTCAGTGTATTCTAACCCTGGTTAATATATTCCTAGGTACTATATTCTCGTCTATAAAACTTGTCTGTTCTTATTTGCCACAGGGAACTCAGGAGGGCCTCTCATTGACTCCTATGGCCATGTAATTGGAGTCAACACCGCCACATTCACTCGTAAAGGTACCAAATGAGTTTTAAGTGGCAATTCTAGTTTCTGTTCGTGGTAAATACGAAAAGCTTGCAAAGGATTAAACGTAGCAAATAACAATTTGTTTTTCACAGTTCCCTTGGCATGTATCAATATCAACTGATCATCATATCTAACTTAAAATTTAATTTTCATCTATTTATCATTCTGATACATGTTTCAACCTCCTTGCATATAACAATATTGAATTGACTTTGATTTGAAAGATGATTCTGAATGCACAAAAAGAAACTGGATAAATAGCATAAAAGAAACTGTGTAAAAAGCAGAAGGTCCTATGACAAACGGCAGACTTGAGAAATCACCAGAAAACCATTTATAATAATCATAAATTATTTAGAGCACATATTGGTCTTTTGGATCTTAATCCACGCTACTGGTGTCTGATCAAAAACCTGTACTCCACTAACCTTATCTGTGGGATTTAAATTTAAGAACCAACCCCTGAACAATAAGACTTTTGCGGCCAAGAACGCAATTAGACACTAGAAATTAATACAATAACGTTCATGTTGGATCATATTAGAGGAGCCCAGTCAACCCAGAAATGCAACTACCTCATTAGTTTAGGCTCTCATGTTGAATGCTCCAAGTTTGTTCCAAATTCTAGAATCAAACTTGATGATGGATGTGAAAAATTATGTCCTACATATGATCGCTTGTCTCAAGTGTACTTTGAACTGTATGTACATGGGGCAAAATGTTCTTTATGTATAACATGATTTACAATTGTGAAGAAATGCATGCATGCATAGGAAGTCAGGGATTGCTTCTATTGACAATATAACGGGGGGAAATTGATAGACATGGTTGGGCCATGTGCAATGAAGATCATTTAATGTACCAGACTATCAGTTAAGAGGGGTGATAAGATTTTAAATTAATAGAGCAAGGAGGACCAAAGGTTCTCCAAGTAGAAGAAGTTAAGAAGAACATGGTTCGTGTAGCTGACCCAAAATTTTAGGATAAAGGCTTGTTTCTATTGTTGATGACGATAGGCTTGTTTCTATTGTTGATGACGATGGTGAAGAAAAGACAAATTTCCTAGAATATAAAGTATTTTAAAGTTATATAAGTAAATAGTTAATTACGATTATTTGTGGACAACTTATTGAATGACTGTGAAGCCACATTCATGCGACTAGGTTTTGACTTCTTACACTATGATACATATCCAGGATATGTTATGAACTCTACCGATATTGCAAAGGAGTATCTAAGTAAGCATCCATCGAAGTAGTTGATACCCAGTACTTCCACCACTGAGTATCCACCAATTGGGACCTCATGTCTTCAAGGTTCATACAAATTATATTTTATCCTAATATACCAAGAAAGGAAAACAATCTTCCCAACTATCTCTTGTCCTAATTAACAACCAAGAAAGCAATAATCTTCTTTGGCAAAGATCTTAAACAGTTTTAAACTTTTTATCCTTTTCCAGTGAGTACTTTTCTACATAATGAACTTACTTCCATTGTCTGAGAAAAGGGGGGGAAATAGGAAAGAGAACAACAGATCCAATTTTTATGAGTTAATCTATCTTTTTATATTAAAAGGAAGAAAGATGAGTATTTACGTGAATAAAACTCTAATTGCTTGTTCAATTCATATGCAGGGACTGGAATATCTTCTGGCGTCAACTTTGCCATTCCCATTGATGTTGTTTTCCGCACAGTTCCATTTTTGATTGTGTATGGTACATCTACCAACAATAGGTTTTGATTCAAACATTTACATTTAGTTTCCAACAAGTGATAATCCTTTTTCAAACCATCTAACTAAGATGTTCTTCTTTACTTGAGATTAGCTGTGTGACTTGTTAATAGTACTTAATTAGATGAGAGCAATCCTTAGGAATATCATCAGTACAGATATTACTCTATATAGTATCAACTCGTTTCTATCCTGACATCCAACTGATCCACAAGAAGATCCTGTTCTGATCCACGACGGTGGGCCCATTTGGGAATCCTTTGTTATTATTCATTACATTGATCGGCACACTGCCCAAGGATCCTTATGCCAAGGACCAGGACGGAGTTGGGTCGATTTCATTGAGAAAGAAGGTACTCTTTTTTCGTCGATCTTGATCTTTTCTGCTTACCGCACAATTGTGGCTCATTAAAAAATTTCATTTTTACTCGAAACAAATCATAACAGTTAATCAAATATTATATGTACTAGAGTAAAACTCCTATAAACTTAAGTGGATATGAGCACTTGTCCACCAAACTTTTTATCCCTTCATTATGCTTTGAAATCTGTGCTACACATCAATGCTATCTTTGAGATTTGTGCCTTCATTTGTATCACATGCTAGCACAAATCTCAATGCAAAATCAATGGGCAAAAAAGTTGGTGGACAAAGAGCTTCTATCCACTTAAGTTTATAGGAGATTTACACATATATACTATTATATTAAAAGCTTAGTGGGGGTACCAAAAAGTTTGAGGGATATTTTACATCCCAATAGAAATGTGAGGGGTATATAGGTAATTTTGCTATAGGAGATACTTTTTTCTTTCTTTTCTTTTTCTAGAACATGCTAAACTATGACCAGGCCAGGTCATAAGTTTTCGTCGAGTTGACTTGTTCGAAGTATATAATTAGAGCTCACTAGTTAAATATCTATCACAATTTGTATTGTAAAAGACATGAATATAAAATGATAAATTTCTTTTCTAATATAAATTATTAGACATAAGTAAATATAAATACAATAATTGGAATTTCAATTTGTCATTATCTAAATGTTATCGAAATCAAAATAAATATATATGCTCGGATTAGAAATAATTAACATAGTAATTTAAAGATAAAAAACCGTGTTCTTCTTATTAACATTATCTAAAGTGTTCTTAGGATGGTGTTTTCAAAATAATCTACTAAATTATGATGCACCCTATTTTCTTTTGTGAAAATAATGTCACCACTGAATTGACATATATGTCATAGCCAATTTCAAATAAGATAGTATAAAACTCGATGAAACTTTAGTGTGAGTGCCCCTTTTATGTAAAATTTAGGATAATTAAATCTTAGCATCTGTTGCACGTGCATTTGCACATGCGATGATAATATTAGTTATTATTAAAAGTAGTGTTCTCTCTACTGTTAGACTATCCCTATTTGCAAACAGATTTGGTTGAATAAACTCTTTTGGGATTTTCAATCATTCCCCTACCCAAAATTTGTAACTGATTTATTTCTATACCTACATAATTGAAAAAAAATCTATACTCAAAAGATCACATTCAATAATGTGCTATTTATATATTATACACTTGGGAAAAGTGCAGTAAATTTTCGTGTAACTGTGATATGATTTGCAGAAATTTCTTCACAACTGTAAAAAGAACATAGCCATAGTGTATGTCAGTTATTTGTGCTCCTGTATAAATATAATATGATTATTATATTGAAATTAATAATTACATCAAGAAGTTGATTAGTTTCTGGCTAGAAATTGAGAAATGAGGGAGTTCAATTTTAAAAACTTAGGAGAAGTTTTTGTTATTCCTAGATTGCAGAAATATTTTCTGCAAATCTGTATTAATTAGATATATATTCGACTTGGGAATTCATTATAAACTCAATCTTAAATCTCTATTGATAGGAATGTAGAGATAGTTCCAATTAATAATTCAGTGTGTTTTTTTTCCCTCCAGTTTTGCTGGCATTTTTTGTGTAATTTTCTGTTGATAACATCTCTTGCTATATCAGATATATGAATGTAGCAAAGCTGTGAAACCTCAAGGGAGAGGTATGGGAGGAAGCAAAAAAGGAATTCATAGAGATCAGGAAGCTGTTGGAGAACAAGCTCAGCGACTAAGGAATTCATAGAGATCATGATATATTTATACTTATCATGGTAATATAATTCCATTCCTTGTTGCTTTCAAAGGATTCTGGAATTTATTTGCACTGTTTGCACATTTTATCTTGCCGTTTGGTTTATGCTTTTGTATTATCACGTGGATGGATTGGGTAATCAGAGGGTGTGACAACATTTCTTCTTATTCATGCTTGTATCTGATTTGTAAACAGCACCCTTTCAAATTCAAGCTTTCAAATTCAACTTCATAGCTGTTTTGTCTTTGTCTAGTATTGTCTAGTTTTGATGTCGTTAGATGTTAATGCCCTGCTTCGTCTCATTGTTTCTCGTTCTTAATTCATTGTATTCTTCATTGAGCTGGTCGTCTATATATTATGATCATCGCTCACATTTTCATACTGTTCTATTTGCATTTCTCATTTGTTTGCTCGATATTTTATGTATTGGGGTTTTCTTTTGGTTTTATGTTCAACGACTGATTTTTTTTTATCTTGGCTTTTGGGTTGCGGATGGAATCACTGCGGTATTGTTATTTTGAACTTACTATCTCTCTAGTTTTATTTTTGCAGACAACCCCAAAGTGAAAATTTTTGGACTATTTTATCCTCAGAGAAAGTGTGTTTTTTTTTTAACAAAAACAAATAGGCCTTCTTATCAATAGTGCCTCTGTTCTGGGCAGTGGACAGGTTCAGCTGGAAATGAGCTTTTACCAGTTTTTGGAAAAACTCTAACGAATCTGATGCTAGCACGATTCTTTCAAGGAAAATAGTTTAAGCGGCTAAAAGCAACCCAAATAAGAGATGTTTGATTGGATACACCAAAAATTATCGAAGAGATTTCTAGGCTTGAAGAAGACAAAGGAAGAAACTTTAGGAATGAGATTTTTTTTTTTTTAACCAAAAAAGAAAAGGCTACTTCTTCCTTCATTCCTGTTGTCATCGCCTACATTCATTACAAGGCTCTCAAAACTTGACCAAATACATCAGACTTTTACCAGTCAAAGAGAATTACGTACAATCTTATGCCTTCAAGAATCAAGGAGCATGTGACAGTTAAAATCTTAGCTGAGCAGTGATGTAATATTGCATGCACTGTTACTTCAAAACTTATATATTCATATTGCAGGGCCCAAGCTTTCATCTACAATTCCATATTCTTCCAAGCTTTCACTATCATTTCCAATGGCACACGAGATTGTTTTACTTTCATGGTGGGCAAGTGTGTTCGGCCTCAGGGTGAAAATTGCATTGGCTGAGAAGAGAATAGGCCATGAATACAGAGAAGAGGAACTCTTCGACAAGAGTCCACTTCTCGTAAAATCTAACCCTGTGTACAAAAAAGTACCAGTATTGATCCACAGCGGAATGCCAATATGTGAGTCTCTTGCTATTATTGAATACGTCGACGAGGTCTGGACTCATAGCCCCTTGCTACTCCCCGAGGATCCTTATCAGCGCGCTAAGGCCAGGTTCTGGGCTGATTTTACTAACAAGGTGATTGTCTTCTTTGCCTGTAATTTATGTGAAGGGCTGCCGCAATAGACCCCTTGTAGGCTTGTAGTTTCATTGTTGCAGTTGGAACCCTGGGTTAAATTTTTTTATTCATCCACGGATGGGGGACACTAATTTCTCAGAGGAATATCAACAAAAATTTTACCAAGGGTAAAAGAGTCAAAAGAATTAACACAAGGGGTCTATCTGCAAGAATTAAATTATAGGGATAGTAAGTTCAAAACATCGATACTACAGGGGATCCCTGTGCAATTACACCCTGATGTAAAATGGTTTAGTTTTCTTGATTGAATCTATTAATAATGAACTCAAATCAAACTTGTGTTGCTCTACCTAACACATTTGTTCATGTGAAATGTTTACCCTGGCTATTTCACCACCATCATCTTGTTTTGATGAAATATTAAGTGGCATTAAAGACATATGCATATGCTTAGGAGTGATGAAGAAGAAAGCAAAGAGAGAACTTCTAAGAAGTAAAATATTTCCGTCTCTTTACTTCATTTTTTGTTATATTATGGATAAATTGGTGGCTTCAAAATATGAGATCTAGAATAATATATTGTTACAATCTCTTTTTTTAATTAGTGAGTTCTTCTTGCTAACTCCGTCCACGGACATGGATATTTGTTGTTCCCTTTGTCTCTACTTTTAAAATAAGTTTTATGCTTTTAAATGCAGATATACCCTGTTGGGCGAAAAGCGAGGAACGTTGAGGGAGAAGATCTCCGAGCAGCCACAAAAGAGTTAGTAGCTATGCTCAAGTTGTTGGAAGGAGAACTTGGCGAGAAACTGTCCTTCAATGGTGAAACCTTCGGCTACGTTGATATTGCTCTTATTCCCTTCTCATGTTGGTTTTATACATATGAGACGTTAGGGGAGTTCAGTATTGAAGAAGAGTGTCCTAAACTGATGGATTGGGTTAAGAGATGCATGGAGAGGGATAGTGTGTCAAAGGCACTTCCTGATCCTCATAGAGTTTATGAGTTAAATCGCGAGTTAAAGAAGAGATTAGGTTAGGTTAGGAAAAAGATAGTAGGGTTAATTGCGGATAGAACCCCAGTAGCATTGGTGATTCGAATTCACCACCCTTCTAATTTGATTTTTTTTTTTTTTGCGGATGGACATCCTGAGTGAATTTTGTTTTACTCTTTTACGCTCAGAGATGAGAAATTTGTTTTTCGACAAAAGGAGAAAATTCTCACTCTGGGGCTCCGTATCGAAAATAATACTTATAGCGGTAGCAAGTTCAAAATGACGATACTTCGTGGTTTCTATCTGCAGTCAGAAATGGATGCAACAAACAGCAGTTTACTTCTGTATGTGGTGCCTTGGTTAGGCTCCCCTATTGCAAATTTCAGTAGATGGGGAAGCTACCAATTGTTCATTTGTACTTGGTCTTCTAATAATGTTATCTAATAATGTTATCCTTGTTTAAATCTTCTGATATTAGATTTTTCAGGTAGTTCTTTTGCAAATCCAAAACAGTCAATACATGGTGTTTGCCTTATGTACGCATTGATCCTAGGATAAGCAAATCTTATTTTGCTTCATGAGATTGTAATTATTCAGGTGAGAATACTGATGTGCTCTAGCAATCTTCAGTCAAAAGTCCAAAACTTAAGAAGGGAATTAGGTCAGAACTAGCAGCGGCACTGACATCATCTTCTTAGAAACAGGAGATATCTTATACAATATATGAAATTAACAAATATTATTGACTGGAAATTCCTCACACAATACTTCTCTTAATCTTGGCCAGTATCAGTTAGTCCCATAACTCATAAATTTCAACTATTTCAGCATTCTTTCTTCACTAAAAGCTTCCAATCTTAGTCTTAAGTTAATTGCAAATAGACCCCATTTTGTTCTGTTATTGCAGATAGGCCCCCGAGTGAAATCTTTTGATGCTATTACCCGGAGAGAAAGATGAATTTGTTTTTTGATAAAAAAAAAACTCCCCGAGGGTAAAAGAGAGGGAAAAAAAATTCACTCACCGGTCTATCCCCAATTGGGTGATAGTAAGGGGGGTCTATTCACAACAATACAACGATAAAGGGTCTATCCGTAATCGGGTGATAGTACAGGGGTCAGTTAGCTAATTGCTGATATGGACTCGTCACTCCACCACTCAAGCAGTCGATTCTTGCTTCATATGGAAGTTCAGTAGTTAACATCTTCGTTCCAGATTATTTAAGGAAGGAAGCAAAATGTTCTTAATTCGGCTTGTTGATTGTTAATTAGTGGTTTCCCTATTATTTTTATTATTATGTTGGGAATGTCAATTTGCTCCCCTATTTATATTTTTAGTCTTGGCTTGTATCTAAAATTAAGAGAATTCAGATACTATACAACAAATGAAGGCCACGCCATTCATCAATCAATCTCTCTCTCACAACCCCTCTATTTTCCCCTCTTTTTTTAATTTTTTTTTTAATTTTTTTAAATTTTTTTTTTTTTTTGGTGGGTGGGGCAGAATGGTTAACTGGATCCCGTCGCTTGTTGTCCAATTTTATCATTACGCAATATCATGGGCAAGCAACATACCGTCCTTCAAACGTCCTTTTCTGTGTGAGCGTTCATCTTTTGTAGCTTGCGTTAATCTTCAACCTTTTGCATCGTATTATATCTTAAACTCATTACTTATTCGTCTTAATTATTGGATTTTTCTTTTATCGGTTTGTAGGATCTTAATGGTTTTCGTGATAATTCATATTCTTATTACATATGAATTATCCGAGGATTCAGAGTAGGGATGGCAAAATGAACCCAAAACCAATTGCCCACCCATACCCACCCGCCAAATGAACCATCCAAACCCACCCATTTAGTTAAATGGGCCATAAATAGGTGGGTATAGTTTCTATTAAAGATAAATGGGTCATTAATGGGTGAGTTATTACCCACCCATTTACCCGTTTAGATGGATATTGTTTTAAAAACACCCTCAACGCTTAAACAATTACAAAACTTATTTTTAAAAGTTAAAAATTATAGAAAACACTTAAAATGACTAACAACCCCTTAAAATTTTAAGATTTGCAAAAAACACCCTCAAAGTTTAAAATATTATAAAAACGCCCTCAAGAGTTAAAAATTATAAAAAAACTATCAAAATTTTCTAACCTCACAGATGACACATGAAATTCAAAAATTACCAACAGCCCCCTGAAATTTTATAATTTGCAAAAACACCCTTAAAAGTTGTAGAAAATGAGAAAAACACCCTCAAGACTTCAAAATTACTAAACAATCTTAGAGTTTTCTAAACTTGCAAATGACATATGAAATCTAAAAAATTTCAATAGTCACCTATAAATTTAAAATTTATAATTAACACCCTCAAAGTTTTAAATTTTTAGAAAAACACCCTGCATAGTTTAGAATTACAAAACCATCCTGAAATTTCAAAACCTACAAATGACACATGAAATCCAAAAATTACTAGCAACCCCCTGTAAATTTATAATTTACAAAAAGCACCCTCAAAGTTTAAAAATTGCAAAAAACACCCTCAAGAATTCAAAACTACAAAACAATCTTAGAATTTTCTAAACTTGCAAATGACACATGAAATCTAAAAAATTTCGGTAGTCCCCTATAAATATCAAATTTGCAAGTAACACCCTCAAACTTTTAAAAATTACAAAAAACACCCTCAATGATATATAAATATAAAAAGTAGGCGCTCATAATTCTTCGTCGGCAGGAGATATATGCGTATGCGGCCAAGTGTAATTTGTCACATGACCAAAGTAAGGGCTTTTTTTAAATAACCGAGCAGGTAGTAAACTAGACTTGTTACGAGTCCATCTCTTCTTTTGCTCAGCCCCGTCATCATTTGCTTCTTTTCCTCACAATTCTGTCCTAATTTTCTGAAGTAGTCGATTCAATTGAGAAAGAAATATTTATAGAAAACCCCCTGAAAGTTTGTAGAAAATCTCCTAAAAGTTTACAGAAAACCCCCTAAAAGTTTACAGAAAACACCCTAAAAGTTTACAAAAAAACCCCTGAAAGTTTACATAAAACCCCTGAAAGTTTGTAGAACTCCCCTAAAAGTTTGCAAAAAAACTCCCTAAAAGTTTACTGAAACCCCGTAAAAGTTTGCAAAAAACCCCCTGAAAGTATGCAGAAAACCCCCTGAAAGTTTACAAAAAACCCCCTAAAAGTTTGCAGAAAACCCCCTGAAAGTTTACAGAAAACCCCCTAAAAGTTTGCAGAAAACCCCCTGAAAGTTTGCAGAAAACCCCCTAAAAGTTTGCAAAAAACCCCCTAAAAGTTTACAAAAAACCCCTAAAAGTTTACAGAAAACCCCCTAAAAGTTTGCAGAAAACCCACCTGAAAGTTTGCCAAAAACCCCTGAAAGTTTGCAAGTAGATCCCTGAAACTTACATATATATAGAAGCATCATAATCATAACTAAATGGGTTACCCATTGAGTTACCCATAAACCACCCATTTAGTAAATGGGTGGATGAGAACCAACCCATTTAGCAAGTGCTAAATGGGTCATAAATGGTTAAGTGGTCATAAATGTGCCCACCCATTGACCCAACCAAAACCCAACCAAAACCATCCATTTGCCATCCCTAATTCAGAGCCAGCATCAAATTTTCCTGATAAAATTCAGGGGAAATTGCATTTATCCCTCCCAATTTGTCTCATACTTGCATAGCCATGAAGTTATGAAACAAGCAAGGAGTATGTTACAAGATTTTATTTTATTTTATTTTATTGGTGGTGTGTCATGTGCAAATATACTTAGTGTTATGACAAATTTCCAAGGATAAGCTAATTTCAATCGCACGAGAGCACAAAAAATTTCAAGAACACACGAACACAAAGATATACGTAGTTCGGCTTGTAGCCTACGTCGAAGGAGGAGAAAAGTTTTACTAATTGTGAGGAATACAAAGTGGAATCCCTCAATCACTCAATCCTAAACCACACCCCAAAAGCCTAATCCAACTCTCAACTAAAGGAACAAAAGAGAATAATATCAAATAAGCTTCACAAAAGAACTCTCTCTTCTTGATTGGTGTTCTGAAGATTGATGTATCTAATTGGCTTGAAAGACTGTTCTTATATAGTCTTGAAGATCTCAGGTCCTTGTTGTCTAAGGAATAAGAGTTCTAATAGGAATAGAAGTTCACATGTCCCAAAACCTAACAAGAGTCCAAATAGGAATAAACCTCTAATATGATTGGTTGTGCAAAGTCTAATGTGAGTAGGACTCTTGATCAAAACAAACCAACCTAAAAAGGAACTCCCAAAGCAATATGGATTTGAGTATTTGAGGCAATCTATAACAAATCTCCACCTTAACTCAAATGCGTAGAAGATTTCTCACTCCAAAATAAACTAACTTACTCCACCTTCTCCAATAGCCCCACAGAGCATCTAAGTGCAGCACGTATCGATCAAGTGTAATCTCGGCTTGAACTTGCTAACTTAAAGAGACCTCCTCAACAAATCGACTGAATTGTCCACGCGACGATCGTAAATATTAGTGAAGTCATCACCTGAAGTAACTCTTGAATAGCTGAAAGGCACAAAATTGTCAACCGACAATGCATAAGCTACTATATCTTCATATTTTCATGGTGATCAGATATCTCGTCTAGACCGATCTCTAGCAATAGTGTATTCCCG